AGCAATTTTTTTATGTAATGTAAAGTTATAGCTCAGTACATTTTTTTTCACCCGAGATAGTCAAAGATGGGGAAGAAAATATCAAAAAGTTAAAAATCCAGAAATAGTCCTAATTTTATGATGGTTCCTTAATATATTTTAACTACATTGCATTTGAGTATGGAGAGGCAACTATCTGGAAGTATTTTACATAAAAAATTTACTAAGTATTGCCCGGTTTGTAGTTGCAGTTAAAGAAAACACATGAAAAGGCACGACTTTTTTTTAATTGGAAAAAATGTAAATATTTCAAAAACGGGTACACTTTTACCTGAAAATTTTTTGTTTATCAGGGAGCTCACCCACCCACCTACCTTCCCCTAAAGTTTGGCACGTTACTTCTGGGACACCCTGTATAAACGTTTTCATTAAAAAAAGCTTTTGTGTGGAATTATCTTGTTAAGAGCTATAAAATTTGTGAAAATTTATAATTTTCATTTGTATGGGTATATACATATGTATACTGATGGCTCCAAGCTCTTCGGAAAGGTCGAAGGAGGAGTCTTCTCCCCTGACCACTATAGTGTATATGAAAAAAATAACTGTTCCTTGGTAAAAATAAACCAGATCCTTATCTTTTCTGACATTTAAGCAGCGCTGAAAGCTGTAAACTCATGTGGACCACACAAAGTCTCCCACTGAATGCCACAGATCTTTAAACAAGATGACCTAGCATTATACAAGAATACAACTGAAATGGGCGCCTGGACACCGAGATATTGTGAGTAATTTCAAAGCTGACGAATTGGAGAGGAATGGTACGACTGCCGCCATCCTTGCGGGGATGGACATGGTTGGTATACCGATGGACACTTTTCAACTTCATGCTAGGAACTTCACCATCTAAGTCGAAAACGAACGTCGGGGAAAGCTCCCCTTTTGTGAAAACATTTGATATATGTGAAGCCGTTTCGACAAAAGGACGAGTGGTAATTGAAAACGGCCTTTTAAGTTATCCTTCGATAACCTTGAAATTTTGAAAAAATTATATGTAAAGAACTAATACACACTCGACCATTTCCTGAAATTTCATCCTTCTATCTTTATAATCCTTGAAAAAATAAAATTAGTAAAGGGGCATTTTCAATACCTATTTGTCCTTGTCAACCAAAACGTTTTTTTTTTAATTCTACAGAGTTTTCTCTCTCAGTTGGCACCCATATTGTTATTCTACATTGGGCAGAGTTTTTTAAATGATTTTTGGAATTAATCATATCTTTGAAACTACAAAGTCTTTTTAAAAAATTCCTGCCGTCAAAGAGAAAACTAAAAACATGGTGTTACTACATTTGGTCCATGGTTTCGCGAGTATATTTTGACTGCTTCGCGTGTTTAGATTTTTTTTGTTTTTTGTTTTTGTGGCACGGTGTACCTTCGTTATTTTCCCTTCTAAGAATTCTTGCAGATTGTGTTCTCCATGCATGGAAATTTGACTTTGATGATCCTTAAGTTATAGCCGCTTTTGTGGGTAAAGGACTGAGACACGCTAGAATGTATTTAATAGATTTAAATTGAATTTGCTCTTGTTACCGTCAAATGACATGCTAAATAGTACAAAGGTACATTATTACCTGCTCCTGACATTATTTTGTGTTACTTACCGGAATTCGGACTAGAGTCTATAACAAGGGCTATATCTATCAAATTTTTGTGGGTTCACGTGAAATAAGATATACATGAGTTGTTTGAAGAAAAATTTATTCATTTATTGATAAAATATGCTCAAATTGGCGACTTTCTACTCTAATACAAGCTCGGCACCTTCTAAGAAAAGACGCTTTTAGAGATCTTAAACTCAATTGGGCTATCTCAGCAGCAGCTCCATTTATTTGTTCCGGCAAATGCTCTTGGTTTTGAATTATTTTTTAATACATTCATTCAAAAAAATATTCACCCAAGTAAAAAAGTTTGTATATAATTTTATATTTAGTATTTTTATAACATGATAATTGAATATTTTGATTAGTCTCAAAACAAAACCTGTATTGCATAAACTATAATATAATATAATAAAACATAATATATTTCAAAAAAAGAAAATAATTTTAGCGAAAGGAGAGGAAAAAAATTTTCAAGTGGAGAGGCGAGGATTAGGGTTTGATTTTAGACCCATGGTTTCTTCGGAGAATTTTCTTAGAATTTAATGTAGATTACGTTTTTGCTATACGGTTTTGAATTTTTTTTTTCATCCATACAAATCAACCCGCCCTAATGTATATGCTTCGAACAAGCTTCAATGAATACTGCACTTGATTAGTATTCTATTTGCTTACGCTTTCCTCCTTTGCCTTTTAATTGTCAATAAAAAATTGCAGAATATCGAACAAAAGCACATTTTATTTCAATTGTTAAAAAGTCTTAAATTCTGTTACAATTTGTTTGAATCTGTGTCGCTGAAATTTGGTGCGCTTCTGGAGCGCTCTTATACCTAAGTTTATGGCGCAGCCTGCACTTTTGCCACAATGTCACTCCAAAATGTTCCATACTGCTTTAATACTGTACCACTGAAAAGAGATAAAGTTATCTATTAATACATTGGCATAAATATACTATTAAACCTAGCACCTTAACAGGCTATTGCAAAGAAAAACTATAATAGTACCTATGAAAAACTTGTTTTACTTTACGAAGATCTGCCTTAATAGTTCGAATATTGAGTTTCTGCATTAATTTATTTATTTCAATAATGAACTTTATCTGGCTTGAATCTTGACTTGGTTGCANAAAAGTTATCTATTAATACATTGGCATAAATATACTAGTAAACCTAGCACCTTAACAGGCTATTGCAAATAAAAACTATAATAGTACCTATGAAAAACTTGTTTTACTTTACGAAGATCTGCCTTAATAGTTCGAATATTGAGTTTCTGCATTAATTAATTTATTTCAATAATGAACTTTATCTGGCTTGAATCTTGACTTGGTTGCAGCCTTAATTTACTGACATTAAGGTGTCGGAGATCTGAAGAAAAATGCAAAAGGGGGCGCCTACGTTCAGCTAAAAGTTTTTTTTTTTTTTTTTGTTTCCGAAATTGCATTGTAAAAATGCTTCAGATTCGAAGTTGTGCGGTGAACCTTTTTTTCTGGTATGGTCTAATGCACAATGAGACTACAGCGATCGAAAATAGCAAACACGGAATCGAGAATNATTCGAAGTTGTGCGGTGAACCTTTTTTTCTGGTATGGTCTAATGTATCTCTACGGTGCACAATGAGACTACAGCGATCGAAAATAGCAAACACGGAATCGAGAATTCTGAAAAAGCAATAAATAAAAAGAACTTTTTATACAAAAATTCATGGGAAGACCTTAAATTGGATACGATGCAAAGAATAAATTCGTAAAAAATGTTGATTTTGCAAATAATTTGCATTAAATTTTGCGCGAAACAGCTTTCCGCGTGAGTGGCCTATGGCGCCATTTTTTTTTTTTAGAATTGGTGGACGAAAATATAAGCCGATTTTGACGTTCNATGTTGATTTTGCAAATAATTAGCATTAAATTTTGCGCGAAACACCTTTCAGCGTGAGTGGCCTATGGCGCCATTTTTTTTTTTAGAATTGGTGGACGAAAATATAAGCCGATTTTGACGTTCTTTCAAATGTATGCTTTTCTCGGTGAAACCTGCGTATACTCTGAATTTCATCAAAATCGGATTGCATCTACCATTTCCGCCCATAAGAGCTGTGGAAGTGGCAATGCGTTGACAATTTCTTATTTTCCACCTTTCTTCATTCCTAAGTAAAGAATAGAGCATTTCAGCAGCTTTTTACCTTTAAAAATTAAACAGAGTACTCTTATACCTTGACAATATTTTTTCTTTAATTAAAAATAATGACTTCGATTAATTTATGCAATATGTACATACATATGTACTTATTTAACTAATTGTTTTCCATTTTTATATTCATACTTATGAATACGTATGTATGACATACAAAAAAAGGTTAATGGTTTTAAAGCGTATGTATGTATGTAAGCAATATTTACCGCCANCGCGTATACTCTGAATTTCATTAAAATCGGATTGCATCTACCATTTCCGCCCATAAGAGCTGTGGACGTGGCAATGCGTTGACAATTTCTTATTTTCCACGTTTCTTCATTCCTAAGTAAAGAATAGAGCATTTCAGCAAATTTGTGATACGGTTACTACTTTTAGCCGCAGCTTTTTAACGTTAAAAATTAAACAGAGTACTCTTATACCTTGACAATATTTTTTCTTTAATTAAAAATAATGACTTCGATTAATTTATGCAATATGGACATATGTACTTATTTAACTAATTGTTTTCCATTTTTATATTCATACTTATGAATACGTATGTATGACATACAAAAAATGGTTAATGGTTTTAAAGCGTATGTATGTATGTAAGCAATATTTACCGCCAAACAGTGCCATTATTATCAATTCGAAAGACACTTCCTTTTTAGTAAAGCAAGTAATACTTAGTCATATATCTCATATACTTACATACATATTTATACATACTTATGCATATACATACATATGTATGTATACGTATCTATTTATGTACATTGTATACACATTCGTCTAAAAGTAATTGACGGCTTTTGAGACATGATAACCGGCCAATGCTGACCTACTTGCCNGCATATACATACATATGCATATGCATATACATACATATGTATGTATACGTATCTATTTATGTACATTGTATACACATTCGTCTAAAAGCAATTGACGGCTTTTGAGACATGATAACCGGCCAATGCTGACCTACTTGCCTTTTGCATTGGCGATAGGCCGGCCACAAGAGTTTGTCACAAGCCGACAAATCTTGCAAAAAATGGTAAATAGTGTTTACCAATATTGCACAAGTGGAAATATTTATTACTTGATTCATTAACCAAGCTTTTCGGATTTTTCTTTTCCTACATTTTTATTGCACAAACACCTCCAAATGCTCTNCTGCAAATATTTATTACTTGATTCATTAACCAAGCTTTTGGATTTTTCTTTTCCTACATTTTTATTGCACAAACACCTCCAAATGCTCTTAAGTACTTAAATATACATACATACGTACATAAATACATATGTAGATATTTATTATTCATATGGTGTTGTTATGCCTACAGCGACATTTGGGAATTTTTTCTCTTTTTCGCAATATAATTTTTATTAATTTATTTAAATTTATGTTTTAACTTAAAATAGTTGTTTGGGAACGATCCATATTCTAACCAGAGCTCAACCAAATAACCGATGCAACGTCATATGCTGTATAAGCGTGCTAATCTTATAATTAATTTAAACTCTTGTGATCCATCTTGCATTTAGTCTACGNGCTCAACCAAATAACCGATGCAACGTCATATGCTGTATAAGCGTGCTAATCTTATAATTAATTTAAACTCTTGTGATCCATCTTGCATTTAGTCTACGAAAGCTGAGCAATGCTAGATAAGGCCGCGTAGGTACTTAATTTTATTATTACTTACAACGCTTTTATCAACTTGCAATGTT